CTGGCGATGCACTTTATACGTTTTTTTGCTCATTAGTGACTCCTTGGCTTTAAATATATAATCTCCCTCTGCTGGTAATGCAACTTCTGCATGCTTGTCCATTTCATGCTTTGGAGAGGCAAAGCATGAAATGGACACAATGTACCGGCGTGTCTATTGCACGTATTACATGGGACTCTGTGAGAGTCAGAAAGAAAAACTATATTGGGCATGCTCATTGGGTCAGACTGTCATGGTTTGCTGTACTCACATTTTCCTCCAGGGCGCTGTCTGGGTGTTTGGGCCATCTTGGACTCCACGCTCAGGCACTACTCACCTGCTGCTCATCTCTGCTAATTGCTTCAGGCAGTACTTAAGGCCTTGGTGGAGTGTTGGTCCTCGGTGGATCGTTGTACTTACATCAGCCTTCTTGGACCCCTGCCTGTCTTCCCTGGACCCTACCTGGATGAGCAAGAGTGTGAGTGAGGCACGGCGTGGATTTTGGACTGAGTGTGTTTTGTATCACGGGCTAAGTGAAGAGGAGTCTGTTTCCCCCCCAGCCTTGAACCTTCCCTTGGAATCCCTGGAGGCCACTCCCCACATTTGCTGTATATGTGTACATATCTCACCTGCTGCTGTAAATAAACCCTTTTCTGCATGCATAGCTCTGAATGCCACATTTGAATTTTATTATTATTTTTATTGTTATTAGTATCCCATTTTGTTTAGTTAACATATTTTTGTGCTACTACTTCCCTACTTTAAATATTCTGTGACAGGCTCCGCCCTTTTTTATGCAATGATTAAGCCCACTGTGATGCATTTGCCTCCAGTTACACCCCCACATACTGTATCTGAGACTTTGCTCAATTCTTTCCAAGAGTGACAACATCATCATGGATAAACTCTATAAATGCATTAACTATTGCTTTTTATTGTTTCTTTAGAGCTGTTGCCTGTTCCCCAGTTTCTTGACGTACATGGACCTGTCCCTCATTGTGAATCTTTGGTTTGAACGTGTGTGAGTGGGCAGGCCTTACTTTGTCAGAGGTTTTCCTGGATGCACGTACTCTCAGCAGTTCCTGTTTGATCCGTAACTGGTACACCTGCACCAGATCACATCCCTTGTGAATATTTAAGGACTGGCTCAGTCATCCAGCCTTTGCCAGATTCTACAGCTCAACACTGATATCAGATTCACCCTTTTCCTAGTGTGTGCCTGAGCTTCTCTCCCCGTCTCACATTGTCATGTGCCAGCCAGTCGGACTGAGAATTCACTCTGAAATAAATCTCTCAGGAAAACCTCTGTCTGGGATTCATCCGTCCCCTTGCACACGTCATCCTAATAAATAAACCTTGAATTGAGCTCCCACTGTTTGTGTCTGCAATTTTGACTGCTAATTACGCTTTATTCATGTTATTTGAGACATTGACTGTTTTACTGAGCAGTCCTGCTTGGTGCACTTTCCTGACCTGGAAAACACTAAAGCTGACCAGCTTGCATGTGATGAATAGTACATTTTTTTGTTTGTTTGTTTTGCTGTTCTGGACCCTTTTTGCACAACTATTTAAATCCTTTAAATTCTTCCTTTTAAATTCTAACCCTTGTAGCACTGCAACCAAGTATGCTAGCGCAATAATTCTTTTTGCATATGAAACCAGAGGAGTTGTACTTACATTTTATGCCATGAGCTTGTCCTGATCAGCTGTTCATAACACTTCCTA